CAGCGCTGTGATATCCTATACAGTCTGCACTTTTGACCAACTGGATAATGGTTTTCAGATTCTTCAAGGTGGCCTGAATCTGTGCCAGAGCTGAAAATGGAAAGCAAACACGAGTCCACCACCCTCTGTTCCTACTTAGCTCCAATGTAAGCTGATTATTCAGGTTTTTTGAAAATTCTGTCATGCTTTTTCATCTGAGAATCCCATCCCTCAGTGGCCACACAGGCCTTGAGTTTGTTTTATTACTGCCTGTCTTTATGTAATATAGTCAACTATGGAGGAATCGGTGATTAGTTATGAGAGGGAAATGCTCCAAGAAATGTGTTAAAATACACCCTTGTGAAACCTCTGCATGTGTGAGCCAGGTCTGTAGGATGAAGTTAGCTTTTACAGGTTACCTCTGGACGAGTAAACACAGCGGTGTCCATAATCTCACATGCATTATCCCGGGTGCTTTAACAAACCCTCCTCACATCCCACATGGCCTCGGTGTGTGGTTCATCCAAACCACAGAACTATGTTTACCCTACCAGCTTCTTGTTTCCCCTAGTTTTACAAACGTTGTGGTTTCTGCCCAAGATCTCGTTTAGCAAGCCATGATTCTTCCTTGGCGTTGCTACTGAACAACCGAAAAAGTGAAATTAAATATTTTAATGACTTGGAATTTGCTATGGTAACAGCCAATGACTCACTTTGATCAATGACACATTACGACTGGGAGGTCCTGAAGGGGAATCGCCAAACAGCTACTTCCTTTGTGCCAAAGTGTGGATGTCTGGGCGATGGCTGAGATCTCAGGCCATAATGATGACTTAAATAGGGTTAATTTAATATATTAAGGATGTTGTGATAAAGATGCATTGTTGACATATTTCACACTTTCACATCAAAGGAGATTGGTCAGAATATTAGTGCGACTCTCCTAGAAATGTCCAAAAGTTTGTATGATCTTTGACAGTACTGTGATTGATTGGATTTGACGGCAGTAACACAATAAATGGCTCTTCGGTTGTTTTCTTCAAAATGTCTTGCTGACATCCAGAAACCCTTTTGCCACACTCTCAACTGCATGCACTTCTCACCCACACTTTCCTCAGTCTATTTTAAAGAGGCCCTTAAAGAGCTCTGTGCCCAACACTGCAACACCACCCTTAGGGGATATTGCAACCCACACTGTCTGTTTCAAGTACATGCAAAGCACCCCCGTGAGCTGGAATTAACCTCTGCAGGTTTGAGACCTCACTGTAATCTTCTGACCCTCGAGCACTGTGGAGCTGATGAGTGGTGTGTCCACAGAGATGTCACACAGCAGAAACTATATTGATGAACTCTGAAACTGATTCAAGCACGCATTCCATGTTGCAGGATCTGGATATAAACTGGGGAGTATTTCATCTCCAGAATGTGAACTGGTGTGTCCAATTGCTGAGTAAGGCCAGCAGCGCTCTGGCCAGAGAAACTCTCGGTTTTGCACGAATTATGAAAATGTTAAGGATCAGATAGGGCCAGCATTTTTGAGCACGCACAGAGCAACTGACAAGTGATATATAGCTTAATAATATTTTTTAAATTCCATTTAATACAACTTCTAGTCTACTAAATGTGTAATGTAAAGTAACACATTATTTGTTTTACATTCTTATTTATTTTAGGTGAGCAGTTTCTGTTTCTGTTTACATCAATGTGTGTTGGGGTCTAAATATTCCCCCAATGTGAAGACCTCCAACTGCACACACCTTCCTGTACCTCACCCACCTGCAGCTGGGTAAGTGTGAGCTGTGTTTCAGTGTGACGGGAGGGGGGAGGCGTTCCTGCAGTCCTGTGAGGTGATGAGGCCAGTAAATCTGCGCTGAGGGGTGGTCTCTGAGTCTGCCCGATTGGCAGAACCCCTGGGCCCAAATTGAAAACAGATGTGTTTGGAGTTCATTCTTTGAGTTACTACTGTTCAATTGTGATTTACAAGAGTGTGTGAGATATGGAAATCTCTCACGCAACTCAAGATATGGGCTGAGTGGAAGCACATTGTGAAACAGACCCCTCCACCCTGTGGGGAGGACTAATCTGTAAACTCATGCTATCCCTTCATTCGGCCGGGGCTGTTTATTCAATGTGTTCATCCCTTCAGCATGTTATCTACTCACAAACTGGCACAATATCCTGCTAATGGAAAAAGCATGGCAAAAAGACAGCAGTTCAGACTCTTCTAAAGGTTAAAATGATGCACACTCTGCTACTAATTACACCTGTCGTGGTTGATAATAACGCCAATAAACGTGGGTCAAAACAGAGCCAGCACACTGGAATTAAATTGGTGCATTTCAGTTGTTGCAATGGCTGACAACAGATTTCCACCCAACCTGGAACAACACCTCTACCCAATTGGCTTTAAAAGTCATTACAATTACCTTTCACAATCAAAAAAGAAAGCTACAGATTTTAGCCTTGAGTAATGAAAAGTTGTTTCAATTTATTATATCATCCATTTAATAAATGATCCACATTTTCCTGGAAACATTAAAAAACCATTAATTGCATGGTTCACTTGCTTTCATTTAATAATTGTTTTAACATTTTGTCCAAAAATGTAAACTGTTATGATTATGTGTGCTTTGTTACTAAGCATAATGGCAGCCCAGTAAATGTTTCAAGGGCTTTGCATGACTAATTCCTTACAACAGATGTCACAGGTAAACAGAAACACATGCAGGTTAAGCAATTTGTTTTGCTCAAGCGGACGACAGCACACCTTTGGTTATAAAACAGGCCAGTTTAAAGCATAACTGATCTCCAAAAGTTATTTCCCCTGGCCTGTGGCCTGGCCCCTCACATGCATATTACCTCACATGGCTGTCTGTTGGATACACACACCCAAACACATATGCATAGTCACAACATCCACACCTGCTCTTGACACGAACAACCCCTGTTCATCCATCTCTGTCTGCCTACTCCTCCCCTCATGCTCAGTCTTGGCTTCTTAGGTGATAGAGGACTTTAATGAAACACTATGAATCTCTGTCTTGTGACCTTTTTAGACTAATGCTAAGCCAGGGACTTTGAGTAGTGCAAGATGAAGGGAAAGAGATAACATTTGGATGGAATTAAAGATAAGAAAAATGGAAGAAAAGCCAGGTTGAGGCCATAAAATAGTTAATTGACGAATCACCTTTCACATGAGACCGAGGCTTACTGGCAATTCATAGGGGAAATGTGTCGGTTCTTCGTCCAACATCAGCTCCTGTTCTCCAGCTCTGCTCTGCGTTTCCCACCTCCACCATTAAGAAGACAAACATCCTTACCATGAATCAGGGAGTCACGACAAAGATTAAGAGGCACTGTTATCGTAAAGCAAGAGACAGATGTGCTTTACTTGTCAAAAATAAAACCACATCCATACATTACATGCACTTGGTCAATACTTGGCGTGTGCACAGAAATACAGAAACTTGCACACACACACACACACACACACACACACACACACACACACACACACACACACACACACACACACACACACACACACACACACACACACACACACACACAAGAAAACTCACATATATCTGCAAAGACGATTGGCTGAGAATCACACATGACTGATGCTTAACTTTTGGAGGCAAATAAACATTTATATACCACTGAGATGATGTTCATTGTTAAAAGTAATCCCTACAACTTGAGTTCATTTTTGGGGGTTTTCTCCATTATTGGAGAAATACTTGCATATAAACCCCTAGTTTTGTCGGACTGTGCATGAATTCATGAACTTAATAAAACACAAAATACTGGCACTGGTTGACTCTTGTCATAACACATGACACACACATTCTTCTCGGATGCTAATGAACAGTTGAGTGACTCAGTGTTATGGTTATGGCTCCACTAAAGCCAGTAGCTATGAGAAGATTAAGGAGGACTTCAGATGCACCCAAAACAAGCTCAAGGAATCTTATTTGGCCTTTTAGCAGAGGGAGATTAAGTCTGACCACGAGTCCTTCTGCATGCTTAACATTTCAATTATTATCATTGCAGATACCAAAGTGAAGGACAACTGTGTGTGTGTGTGTGTGTGTGTGTGTGTGTGTGTGTGTGTGTGTGTGTGTGTGTGTGTGTGTGTGTGTGTGTGTGTCGTGTGCGTGTGTGTGTGTGTGTGTGTGTGTGTGTGTGTGTGTGTGTGTGTGTGTGTCGCCTGACTGTGTTCCTTGATGGCCTCTCCTGTTGTCTGTATGTCTGTAACCACAACCCAAGTGTTCCAGACAAGTGATTCACAGAGTGTTCACTTTCTTTGTTTATTTTTGGGCTTTGGTTTTTGTTGCGTTTCTTTTTGCTGTTAACTGAATCGACTCTCAGGACCAACATTTTATTTTTGGATTCTAAAATCCCTGCCTATCATATGGCAAACTGTAAAATAGTGAAACGTTGCGAGCGACTGCTTATGTATAATCATCACAGCAGTACCTGAATACAGCTAAGGCTGACAAAGTCAAGCTGAAGCCCAAAGAAACATGATTCAGCAACTGACAATGTGGAACTGGGCCTGACATGGCTTCAAATGGCCATCGACCCTTCATCTGAAAGTGGAGAGGATACTGAGGGTCCCGTCCACAGTGAGGGGACAGAGAAGAACGGAGGTCGTTCTCGCAGGAGCTGGGGAAAACCAGGGTGTCCTCACAGATTGTGAGAAGAAAGCCCCCCGTGGTGGTGGATGGTTGGCCGGACCCTCAGTGTCCTCTCCACTTTCAGATGAAGGG